GTAAAGGTGATACCTACATTTCATTTTGCAGAATGCATGGCATTGGGATAAAATTCATTTCAAAGAATTCAAAATTGGTTGAAGAAGGGAGTTTTGGTACATTTCAGGAAGAGGATTTACAGGTAGCATGGTGGAAATCTCCCATTTTTATACAACAGATATGTGAAGTAGAAGTTTCAATAACCTCATAAACCTTTTTTTGTGAATACTTACGTTGGAGGATCTGATTGGGCAGGCAGTCCAAAGATTTTAAAACAGATATACATGTTAATAACTAGGGTTTTAGAAAAAAATCATAAGGCAAAGGGAAGAGAATAAATTATTTACTCGGTTGTCTGATTTATCATGCTTTTTATTTCAATTTTTATTGGTGTAGTTCAGCCAAGTAAAAAACTTTAAGGGTAATCAGTATGTGATGACTATATATTGGCAGCCTGCAAAATTTAAGGTTTATGTTCTTGTAACATTACTTAGATTTACAGCCATGTCAATCATGGTAAGTACAAAACTCTGCTCCCGTAATGTACTGAGAGGATGCAAACACTGAAATCTGGAGAAGCACAACATACATCATTTCACTTATAAATTACAGGTAGTAGCTTACACTGATCCTTGACATGTTCATCTTCTTATTACTTTGGTTATTAAACATTTTAGTGATTTTTTAATATCCATATTTGGCTGATAAAGGCTTTGTAATACTATACATATTAGGGGAACTGAATCTAAAAGATGAAATAAATTTAAGAAGTCAACATGGATTGAACATCCTTCTACTATTGATACCATTATTTATTGAAATTAAAAATTAAAAATTACAGATAATATCCATCCAGTAATTTCTATTATATTAAATTGCTGATCTTTTAGAAAATACATAATATGTCCTTGAGTTGGCTGCTGTATCAGAAAATTTGGAAATGTATCAGAAGATTTGGTAATGGAGTTCTTTTTTTCTATTCAGAGGAACTCCATTAAGGAGCAAAAGATAGAATTGCTGTGAACTGCCTTTTGATTACCAGCCTTAAAAATCCTAAGGAAATATCCTCAATGATAGTTGAATGTTGTCTATTGACTGTGTTTTCTCTTCTAGTACCAACCATACACAGCTCAGGGCATTGGTTAAGATAGACATCAATCGCTTAGAATAAATCAAAGGCAACCAAATAGAATTTGTTTAAGTCAAGTAACAAAATGAGCCAAAAGATTTATATAAAAAAGATGGTCTCCAAAAGCCTTGGATGTCATTCCCAAACAATTCTAAAGGTTATCCCTGAATTATTTTTAATACCAGGTTTTTGCCCTGGTGCTATCTTTTATTTGGATTGCAATTCCCTGCATGCACTCCTATGATAATCCTTGGTTTAAAATGTTGTATTTTGAAATGTGTTAGAACCAATTTAAAAGCCTACAGAATTCATATCGAATGGCTGAAAGAGGCTTTCAGTGAAGGCATCAACCACAATTGCCAGATAGTTTTAAAGACAGTCCCAGTTTCAAGGCAATGAAGGTAAGACTTTGGTTGCCAGGGTATCTTGCTCCAGAGAGGGCCCCAACAGCCATATTTGCTGCGGCTGGGCAAAGGCCCCATGAACATGGCCTCTACGTGCTGATCAAGCATTAGCTGTGATTCCAGCAAAATTTGCAAGTTCATTAAGAAGGAGAACCCAGCGCTAACAAAGAAGCAAACATTATCTTCACTGAGATATACGAAACCTAACTAGGCATGATTGCAGTTGAGTTCACTATCCAAAGTGATTCTGGGCAGCTACAGATTAAACCAACAGATTAAACACTTTGCTTTTAATGAATTAAAGAAAATAACCTTAGTGCATTATCTGACAAAGTGTTGCCATAGCTATTCTATTACCCTGTGTTCCACTGTTTCTAGTTTCTACAAGTTAAAAAAAAAAAAATTAGGAATGAAGGCAAATATACGTGTCCCAAGATAATGTTGCAGGATCCAAACTGGGTCTGTCACCGGGACCAGATGACCAATCCAGATTGTATATTGCAAAAAAATAATAATAATAAACCACGGGTTAAACTGTGGTTCATGTAAACATAGCTCGTATTTTTATCTTTAAACTGTTGTCTAAGAATGAAAAGAGTGTTCAGTTACTGAAATGCAGATGTTTTTATTGATTTGGAGATGCTTGAACCTAGCAATATGAGTTAAATAGTTTAAATCTATTTAAAAACACAATTAACTTAATTTACCCAGACCGTAAAAATTTGCTTATTAAAAGGCATGTTCTTTCCTAATTGGAAAAATGTAACTTCCCTCATCTTATGCTTCAGTAAATTTTGTCAGGATGCCAAAGTTAGCTGTATAAGCAACATACACATCATAGCATACATATACAATCTTATTTACAGTCACAGATAAAATTAATTGCTAATCATTGCTGTGAAATACTGTATACTTGGGCAGAATTTCTGCTTACTTTCTTAAATAACGAAACAATGATGCTTGTTTAAAGGAAGTTAATTAACTGTGCCCTCCAGTGAACATTCAAGAACCAGACAGTTTTTTCTTAACATACATTCCTTTGATTATAGTATCTGTTTGAATGCTCAGACTAGTCATTCTGCAGTGTTACACTTCTTAACTCGCAAATATAAATTATTGTGAATACTTAATTTGATGTAGCTGACATATTGGAACATGTTCTGTAGTGATTGTGCAGTCTCAAGACGATAAACAAGACGATAAACAAATGTATTACAAAATAGCAGCTGTTTTACAGTGGCCCTGCCTCTTTCTGTCCTATATTGTAACTCTGAGCGATTAGAAGGAAGTTCTGTGCAACTCTCTCTGATGCAATAATGCAGTACAGAATTGACTAATAAAGGTCGCTTTTATGGGAATATCTGCATTCCCCATAAAATATGGGATTTAACATATTCCCATTTCAGAAGATTCATAAATGAACATTAATCAATACCATCTATGTATTTTCATATTTCTGTGACAGGTATAAATATATTCCATTTTATTTACAGTTAACTGCTCCACCCTCACTCCGACACAGTTGTGTGTGTATTAGAAGAGGTGAATCTAGCTAAACGTCTCTTTCTTTAGTATTCCCCAAAGCAGCTTCATCTTGGAATTAATCTCAGTTCATTCCAACCAGCTAATTTCTGCTGAAGATGAAGAGAAAGGCAAATTGTGTATATATAATTACTTCTGAATGACTTCATTCCAAATTATCAGTTACAGTTTTTAAAAAGAAACAAAATGCCCCTAAATTACTTAGAATTCCATCTCAGGCACTTTTGCTTTGTATTGGTAGTCTTTTGTGAAGGTACAAACCAGTTAGGTTTTAACAATACTGAAGACACGGAACTAATTTCCTGCTCAGAAATGTTAGGAGTTTGAGTATGGTATATTTCTACAACTTCAATTTTGTTTGAATGGCTTTTCCATTCGTTGGTTGATCTAAGCTTGAAAACCTGTTTGGTGAGAAAAAATACATTAGCACATCTGTGTTTCTACCCAGTCATCACTGAGCTGTTCTAACTGGGTGGGGTACAGCCTTGCTCAAGGTTAGGAGCCAGAAGGTTGGCTGTTCAGACAGTCTTTGAGGCAGAATTACTATCTTCGGAACTCTGATATTCTTCTCAGGTTAGTGTGAATATTCATAAATAGAAATGTTTTAGGAAGAGAATGAAGTTTTTAATGTTTAGTGAACAGAATGGAAAATCTCTGAAAGGGATCCATTAATTTCATTGCAAATCAGGGGTATATTTTTCAGAAATTTACAGGTCCCCTTTGTTTTACTAAGTTATTTTTTTTAAAAAAAAAAAAAAGGCTATTATACATGGTTTTTGTCCTAGAGCAAGTTTGTTCTGGGCTCAAAAATTATTTAAGAGGGTTTTTTTTTCACTGAAAGCATAAGAGCTATATAAGATTTATGACTGTATGTAGGATTTATAAATACATGTTATTGATCTGATCCTTAGTTCGCTTTTTTAATACTGGGTGTTATAAAGAGTATATACTGTGTATTTCTTCCTAAGATTTTCTATTGATAGGTTTTTCTTAACTGGTTTCATAAAAAGTTTAGTTTCTCAGTAAAGTTTACCACATAGGTCTGCAATAAGATTGATGACAGTGAAGCAAATTATATTGTATCTGTCAACAAATGTACAGTTGCAAATGAGGATTATAACAGGTTGCCACAATATTGGTAATACTGCTATGTGTGCACAAAATTTAATTTGAATTTTGCCATTTTCTAGTTCTTTGCATGTTTTTTATTTAACAAAAAAAGCCTCTAGGTGTCCTGAATGCTATTTAATCTATTTAATTAAAGAAGGAAAAAATAAGAGCCCAAATCCTCATATTTATACACATACTCATATATACAGTTATGTGAAAAAGAAAGTACAATTCTATGGTTTTACGTATCAGGACATAGTAAAAAAAAAATCATCTGGTCCTTGGCAGTTCTTAAAAGTAAATAAATACAGCCTCAGATGAATAAAAATATATTACATCATGTCATTTATTTTACAAAAGAAAAGACAAAGTGGAAAAAAACTGAAAAATGTGAAAAACTAAGTACACCTTATGATTCTATAGCTTTAGCTGCAATAACTTGAAATAATCATTGTCTGTATGACATTATCAGTCTCTCACATGGTTGTGGAGGAATTTTGACCCATTCTTTACAACATTACTTCAGTTCATTACATTTGTGGGCATTTATTTATGCACAACTCTCTTAACATCCCACCACAGCATTTCAATCAGGTTGTAGTCTGGACTTTGACTATACCATTGCAACACCTTGATTCTTTTTTTTTCATCCACTGTGTTCTATATTTGCTGGTGAGCTTGGGATCATTGTCCTGTTGCATGACCCAATGTTGGCCACAGTTTAGCTGTTGGACAGATGGCCTCACATTTGACTCTAAAATACTTTGGTATACATAAGAGTTCATGATTTTCAAGGTGCTCAAGTCCTGTGGTTGCAAAACAAGCCCAAATCATCACCCTTAAACTACCACAATTAATGGTTTGTATGAGATGTTGTGCTGATATGCTGTGTATAGTTTTTGCCAAACATGCCACTGTGTCTTATCCACTTTGGTCCCATTTGTCCAAAGGACAATGTTCCAGCAGTCTGCTAGAGAGAAGTTCCCTGAAGACGGGCTCCAACACGAGTCCAGAAAGTTTGGAAGACAAAACCTCTGGTCCCAGTGACCAATCCAGATTGGATCCTGAGCTATGGTCAATATTTGAGGTGCGGAAGGTCACAACTCTTGATGTTCTAAGTTGCCACAAGAAGTCGTCTGAGGATCTGACAATATCATTCAAAGGGACAAGACCAAAACAATTTAGATTCTTTTGGCTGTGTTTCTCTCTTCTCTCTTCCTCATATACTAATGAGAAGAATGGAAAGAGAAACCGTTCTTATTAACATCATTAAGTTAAGCCCACTCCATCCCCACATTATCATCAAATAGCAATTTAGATTGGATTTGAAAGGATTTCAAAGAGATATGAGATGGACAGATATAATTTTACTTCTGCATCTACTACAGGCTAGGCATTTTTTTAATTTAGCCATCGCTCTCTTTCCAATTCTGTGGTTTAGAACCTTAAGGAAAATCTCTAGTTTCATGTACAATGAAACTTGCTCCAGGCACCGGTAACTTCTATAGACACAGCATTTCTCCTGCTTCCACATTGAACAGGTGCAGGCCTCTTAGCTCTCTGTAGGACACAACATACTTTAAAAATAAACAACAAAGAAAAGAAGAATTTTTAATCTGCGCTTTGTTTGTTTCTCTCAGAGTTTTTCTTTGTATTTGTGATGTTCATGAATTCATGAATCATTCCAATTCAGTATACAAAAAAATTTTTGTTGAGAAAAGATTATTATAGTTTCCATTTGCCTAGTCTTTCTCTGCCAAATGTATTGGACTTCAGTGCCCTTCATCTCAGATGCCATGATGGCTGTCATTGAAGGGAGTTATAGTCAAGACATCTGGAAAACTGCCTATGAGAAGGATTTATTAAACGTATTATTTTTTTTAATTTATGTGTTTATTGCTAAACATTTGAAATACAAAAATAGTAGCAAAAAAGCAAAATAACACAAAAAAGCTGCTAACTTTGAATTTAAAAAATGTAATTGGAAAAATGTAATTGGAAAAGGTGAAAAGTACACTATTTTTAGTGATATATTCTCTGCTTCCTGATCATTTGCATCCCAAACCAAAAGCCACAGTTTATATAGTTAAACTTTGTACTAGAAATTATTACTAGTTTCTAATTTGACTCCTAAAAACCATATTCCTGTTATCTAAATCTGTCTTGCTGTGAGATTCAAAAGTTCCTTCTTGAGGATATTAGATCTTCTGTGTGTGATGTTGCTACATATGACTGGGAGAAGAGAGCTGCCTAGGAATGATTAAATTGATCAAATGAAAGATTGCAAAGCCCTATTCAACAGCTTCTGTCCAATGAACAAAAAAAGCAATACAAAGTTGTATGTACATTGAAGTTGCAAATTACAGACCTTTTATATTAAAGACTATAGCTATATTAGTACATATTTTTAAAAAAATTACACTTCCTTAATGACATTAGGAAAATAAGCTATTAATCCGCTTCATCTTATTTTACAGATGTTTTTAGCTATGACTGTTAAAATGACATTGCTACAGTTTAAGCAACAAAGTTTTAAAGATGACTAGACAATCCATATTCATTGGATCATTTTTTTAAAGAATATTTCCTCATCTAAGCAGAATTACAACAAGTGGGCAAAAATCAGTGGGAGTGGGACCACTTCCAACTTCTGATTGGCTTTCCCATTGAGTTTTTTTGTGGGAAGCTAGCAGTAAGTGGTGGAAATTTTCCTTCCTTCCTTCCTTCCTCCCTCCCTCCCTCCCTCCTTCTCCGCACCTCCTTTCCTTCCTTCCTTTCGCAGTTTGGATAAGGTGCGTCAATTTATTGTGGAAAAATGCATCAAAGGACTCTTTCAGTTACTCTACTTTCACTTTTATTTCTGCTAAATCAGTGGTTCTCAACCTTTTTAATGCCGCAACCCCCCACTGGTCGTAAGTCGAGGACTATTCAACCAGTCATAAGTCGCAGACTACTCAACTGGTGCAGCACCGTTTGCAGAATGGGACTTTTGGCGGGCTCAGCAGGGCAGAGACAGCCTGGACAATTCCCATTGGCTTTTGAAAGCCAATAGAATTAGACTCTATTCAAGAGAGTCTATTCTATTGGCTTTCAAAAGCCAATAGAATAAAAGGGAGTAGCACAGCTAAGGAAAAGGGGGGGGGGGGGAAATGGTGGACTGCATTGTTTGGCGACCCCCGTGAAATGGTCGTTTGACCCCAAATGGGGTCCCGACCCACAGGTTGAGAACCACTGTGCTAAATAGTCAAATATTGTTAAGCTGCTCAGGAGAGAAGATTAGTATATCTAAAATGTCTAAGGAATTTGGTTCCTCACTGTTGTAAATAGAATGCCTCTGGACTATCATCTTAGGAGTTCCAGTTCAGCAAATCCTATCTATTTAAAATATGTGCAGGGTTTGGTTTAGTAATAATGTTAACATTCGTGCAGTCATTACTTAAGTTTTCATTTCACATGCTTTTTAAAAAATTCATCTATTTTTTGTTTCTTAGATGGTTTGAGGAATATCTGTATGCCAAAATTCATTTTTTGTCATTTCTTCCTCTTTTCCATGTATAATCTCATCCTTATGCACATGATCCAGTAATTTAAAAAGATTAAAAAGATAGTATAAGATAAAAATAGAAATTTACCAGTGGACCCTGATCGCTAGGTGCTTTCACTTCGCCATTTTGGTTCCCTCCAGTTTCTTCAAGGTGTATATACAGTATAAGTCTATCTCTCTGCTGTCAGTTTACTATGTAAAGAAAAAATGCTGGAACTAGCATAAATCTTCAGTATCTATTTTGTACCAATGCTTGGTACAAAATTATCTTTATTCAATTTCAGGAAAGGGTAAAAAAAAATAGATCATTTTTTTCCAGTAAAAAGATAAAAAGGGTTTCTTTTCCTTAAAGCCTTGCGACATTTGCTCTTATGTTATTAAGTTATACTCCAATTCCAGGTAATTAAATTGTGTTTAGTTCTGAGAAAACGTACACTATTAAAGTATTTGTTTTTCTCAGACTCCTTATGAAAACATCACATTTCTAATAATCATATTGAAAATGTGCGTGTGGAGTGGGTGGGAGGATACCCCTTCACATCAGTTTTTGACTTCTGGAGCTGCCCTGGACAGGTTCCTGCAGTTGTCTGGACAAGATTTTTCTGAAGTAGTTTGCCATTGCCTCTCCTTCCTAGGGTTGAGAGAATGTGACTGGCTCAAGGTCACCCAGATAGTTTTATGGCTAAGATAAAATTAGAACTCACAGTCTCCCAGTTTCTAGCATGGTGCCTTAACCACTAAGCCAAACTGGCTGTTTTTGAATATGTATGTTCATTAAATTCCTTAATTAATGTATTGTTGAGAAAGACAACCATTTTATAATGAAATTGTTGTGTTCATTTTATACTGAATAATAATAATTAAGCTGAGCTGCTGTGGATACGTTAGGATTCTGTGTTTCATCAGAATTGTTTCTTAATGGGCAAATCCTCTCCTTGGATGTAACCTGCCCAAAATAATCTGGAAATCAATTAACTCCCAAATCTAATTAAATAAATAAATAATGAAATAACCATTTTTAAAAGAGCATAATGTAGTGTACTTCTAAGAAAATAATAATAAGGATTTGTAAATGCTAGTTCAATGACAGTTCAGCAATAACCTAGGCAATAAAAATACAAAACCACAAAAAATCATTCCATCTTGCCATTTTAACTAATTCTCAAACTTATAATTTGAGTATTTAAGGAGCTGGTATCAACTGGATTTCATATTCTTTTCCATTTGGATTGTTTTGTTTTCACTTTGAGATTGGGACTGAACTAATCTTTATTACCTTGGCAGATGATTTCTGCTAGACATTATACAAGAGGAGCATATTCCCACTGATTTTACTGGATTTTGTTAGGAAGATTGTTGAACTGGTGGTAGTGGATCAATTTCACAGCATTTTAGAAAAAGTAGATTTTCTGACTAAGTCCAGGTTTGGAGACTTGTATGGGTGTGGTGAACTCTTTCTGGACTAAACCTTTCAGTGGCTTTTGATGGCATCAATCATGCTATCCTGTTGGACTGTATGCAGAGGTTGAAGATAACAGACAATGGCCTATAATGGTCCTGCTCCTTTCTTCAGTGGTTAGTTCCAATCTGTCACACTGAGGAAGTAATGATTGGCTAAATGGACCCTGAATGGGTGTTACTGCTTGAGGTCATTCAATGGGGTGCAGTATCATTAGTATACTGATGATACCCAATTGTACATCACTGTTGTTGATGTTCTTTTCTGGTGCCTGAAAGCCACCTGGATCTGGCTGGAAAAAAACAGCTGAAGGTGAGGCCTAGTAAATCTGAGCTGTTGTGGATATATTGGGGTTCTCTGTTACATCACAGTTATTCCTAGATAGACAAATACTCTCATATTTGTTCCAGTTGATTTCCGAGTACAGTTTAAGGTATTGGTTTTAACCTTTCAAGCCCTTTATGATTTGCTGCCTAGGTGCAATACAATCTACTTCAGCCAGTACTGTCCCCATCGTTAGATTAAGCAGAGAGACGTATTACTAATCCCGCATTTTTGGGAGGTCCAGGAGACTATAAAGTTAGAAGTGCTATTTTTCTGGAGTGGAGCCAATTCTGTGGATTGGCCTCCTAGTTTTAATTAGACTACCCTGCTCATTGATGTTATAGAAGCTTTTAAAGATGGAGTTACTCAAGAGAAAGTCCTAATTTTATTATGCCATATTTACTTTTTTATTTTTATTGTGTTGGTTTTGTGTTTGGGTGGTGTTGCGTTTACATTTTTATCACTGTTATGATGTGAATGTTTTACTTGTTTTTTGTAACCAATGTCAGCTTTAAAAAGTCCCTAAATTGTGGCAGAGTAGAATTTTGGTTAATAAATGAATTATAAATTTTTAAAAAGAAAAAGTATTAAATATTAGTGCTGGAGGTACACAAAGTAGAACTTTGAATAATGTGAAATTGTTCTATTTATCCATTTGAAATTCCAAAGTATGAAATTTTATACATGAATTATACCACTTGCATTGTCTCAACTAGGACATGTTTTATTGATTGTATTTAACTTTAGCTCTGTTTTGTTTATATGTCACAGTTCCACTTAGCAGCACTGGCATCTTTGAAAGGCGACATCGTTGATCTTAATAAGCGCTTACAGCAAACAGAACGAGAGAGAGATTTGTTGGAAAAGAAATTGGCAAAAGCCCAGGTTAGTCATTGTTCAACTTACTAAAATGGCCTTGGCTCAATATCTCAAGCATATAAACCAATCAAAAGAATTGTTGTTATATCAAAGGCATCAAATGTGACTTTTCACAGATTAACATATCAAAGTCTACCAAAGTAGTTTCTTTATATTAAGGTCATTGAACAAAATTGTGTAAAACAAAGTTACTTTAGTAATACATAATCCAGTTATTGCCCTGTTCAAAGAGTTTGTACAGTTCATGCAAAACAAAATTCTGCAAATATGATCAATAATTTTTATATCGATGGAAGTGGTGCATTTAGTCCAAAATAGCATGCATATTTATTGAGCTTCTCACCAATTGAAGCAAAATTCCTGTTTGTAGAGAAATTAATTAAAACAATTTTAAGGAGTCAGTATGGATTTCTCAAGAAATCCAAAAGTCTTCTGCAGAGTCTTGCTAGACTACCTATGTTTTACTTTCTGGTATTAAGCTTTCTTAATAAACTGTGGCAATATACAAATAAACTATACCTTTATTTTAGCAAAACATTTGATAAAAGGACAGATAATATTTGATTAGCAGACTGGATAAGGCTGGATGAGATGATATGACAAGTTGATACCTACAGCAACAGTCTCAAAATTGCACTTGAAGAATATTCACTAATGACATTTCATCATATTGGAGTGATATTGGGTGTGATGCCACAAGACTGAATCCTGAGTCCTAGACTCTTAAAACAGTTTTGTAATGACTTAGATCAGTGGTTCTCAACCTGTGGGTCGGGACCCCATTTGGGGTCGAACGACCATTTCACGGGGGTCGCCAAACAAGGCTGTCCGCCATTTTTTCCCCCTTTTCTTTGGCCACGCCCCTGGTACTCGGTGATGTATAAGTGGTTGGGGGTCACCACAACATAGGGAACTGTATTATGGGGTTGCGGCATTAGAAAGGTTGAGAACCACTGACTTAGATGAATAGGTAGAAGGAAACAAATTTAAGCTGATACAAAGTAGAGTAGGATAGTTACTAACAAAGAAGACAGAAGTAAAATTCAAAACAATTGTGAGAGATTAGAGGAATGGGCTGAAAGATAACATAATGAATTCAGTAAAGATAAATACAAAATTCTTCACTTAGGAAATTAAATGAAGCACACAAGTAAAGGATGGGGATACCTGGCTTGGTAATAACAGTTGTGAAAAAAAAGGTAAGTAGCAATGTGATGCATTGTTAAAAAAAAGGCAAATGCAAAATTAGGCTCTATTGATAAGAGTATAGAATAATTATTTCCTGTTATAGATTTGGGATGGTACAAAATACTCAGGAGATATTTAGATTGGTTGTTAGTGAATGCTATAATGCTATAAAAATGTGAAGAAAACAAATTTAACTTTCAGTTTCTTTTTGGAATGGTTCAACCACTACCTATTTATCTCTGAATTGATAATGCCAGGGGCAAACAATCAGATCCATACATAAAAGTTCCAGTTTACTGTTTTATTGCTCATGCCTCTACACAGGAATCTTCTCAAACTAACAATTTGCCCCTGGGTAGAACTTAGATAGAGTTCAACAGCATTTGGGGGGGGGCGATTCGACTCTTTTGACTCCATAAAGACTCTAAACTAATTCCCTGATTGACTCCTCTTCCTGGGTCTGGCAATCTGTCTTCTACAGATTCAGCTTTGACTGCTTTCCCAGACTACGTTAAAGAAGCTAAACTTGACTAGAATACTTTGTCAACTTGTTAATTTGAGAAATTAAATTTGGCTCCACCTTTTTTATACCTTTCCTTGTTTTCTCATCATTGTATATTTGGGGCTAGCTTGCCATTTTTAATTCTTTTTGTCCATGAACCTCTTTTTTTCCCTCTAACTTTTTTTTATATCTTGTAAATGGTTTTTATGTCACTGCCACTTGATTTAGAGCTATCTTGTTTTCCTCCATTCCTCAGCACTAAAACCTGAGCTGCCAACTTTGACTAGGTTTCTCTCTTGCCATCTGTGGGGATGATTTATTGTCCTCCAATTGAAACGTCTCACTGTTGTTAGTTGGAATTTTATGTTGCAATTTCAATTTTTCTTCCAGTGACAGTATTTTTGTTGCTGGAGGCCATACTCTGTTAGTCTAATACCTAGAAAACTGCAATTGTAATGTCTTAGACTTAGCTCTTCCTGACTTGACAAACTTGCTCACAAAATTAAAGAACCATTTTTTTTTCATGAGCTTCATTCTTTGCCAACCAGTTTATTGGCCAAAATCTACATGAAATGTTGTTATGGACAAAGCTTGACTGCTGGGTTGAGTAATCCACTGTACACTGCAACTTTTTCCTACTTAAGTACATACTTAATACTCCTTCCTGTTCATCTTTTCCCCATAACAACAACCTGGTAAAATGAGTTGGGCTGAGAGAGAGTGACTGGCCAAAGTCACCCAGATAGCTTTCATACCTAAGGTGGGACTAGAACTCAACAGTCTCCTGGTTTGTAACCTAGGGCTTTGTTTCAAATTATTGAAGACTATCTGCTAACAATAATAGCAGAAACATCGAAAAAGAAATCCTTGTTCAGTTGGACAGGAGTTAATACATATACCGGAATTGTGTATTCTTTGATTAGTATTAATATAATTTAATAACCACAAATTATTACATTCATGACATTTCCATTGTAGTTTGTTAGTCTGTCTTGAATTTTCTCAGTAGTTTCCTATTGTGCAGTATACCTAGAACAAGACATTATCTCATTCATTATCTCAAGTGATTATCTCACTCCTTTCAATATGAAATCTCAGATTTTTTACTATGAGGAAACTACAGTATCAAGCAGGCAAGTGTATAGTAAGATCATTACATCACCAGATAATTATTCTTTGGAAATCACATGCTAACTATAATTTCTAATTCTAAGGTGGATTATAATATACCTACATTACGAGCAGTTTTATTTTGAGACTGAAGGAAAGTTTCAAATAAGTTTTTAATCCGGAAGGAAGAGCACTAGAGGCATATTCTGTCGCCTTTCTTTTTCAGTGCCTATACTGAAAAATATTTGATGAACTAAGAACTTCACCATGATTATCAATAAATAATTTATAATTTAAGCTATACAGATGGCACTATTTATTTATTTATATATGAGACTTATATACCGCTTTAAGTGCAAGCACTCTCTAAGCGGTGTACACCGGTAAGCAATGTATATCTATTTTACATTGCCCCCAACAATCTGGGTCCTCATTTTACCTACCTCAGAAGGATGGAAGGCTGAGTCAACCTTGAGCCGGTGAGATTTGAACCGCTGACCTGCTGAACACAGTCAGCTAAAGTGGCCTGCAGTACTGCACTCTAGCTGCTGCGCCACCTCGGCTCACTATGCTCCTGATGGAACTGGAAGAAGAACTAAAGAGCCTGAGAATAGTAAAAAATGTAGGTTACATTTTAATACAAAAAGTGAAGATCCAGAATAAAAACAATAATCAATTATACCTTTCTTTAGCAAGACAACATTTTGTTGATTTTGAAAATTTAAACTTAGAAGATGAGAAAAAAAACTGGTGATATAAAGAAGCAAATAAAAATTGCCTGGAATGCTGTTTTAGAAATTAAAAATATTCTAATCTCAAGGAAAATAGATTTAAAATAAAGAATTGGAATGATGAGATGCTGTATTTGGTCAATTGTGAAACCTGAAGAACGTCCAAAGAGACTAAACAGTCTAAAAGCCTTTGAAGTATGGTCTTAAGGAGAATCTTGAGAATTTTGTGGAGTAACAAAAGATCAAACCTTGAGAATCCTAGAAATGGCAGAGGGGGAAAAAAAAGCTTCATAATGACCATCAATTAAATATTTGGGTCATTGATGCATCTCTATATAATGTACTTGGTTAGAAGAAACAATAGAAGAAAAAAGAAGCAATATATGACAAAGCAGCATCTACAATAATTATGAAGAATTGCAAGAGTAGCATAGAGGGGATTTGGTCATCAACATCCTGGAAGGAGAAGACACGCGAACTATATTAAACATATTAATACACAGATACTCTTCTATAAAAACAGATTATTAATTAAAGAAAAAATATTTAATAAGCTTCGGTATACTAATATTATGCAATTCAATATTTTTAATGATTTGTTGTACTATATTTGTGGCTGTGAATATTTTAATATACAAGATAACTAATATCAGTTTTCTAAATTCTGATGATTTCCAAGTATTAAAAATAATTGTTCAATTAATTAAAATGTTATACTGTGAAATTTGTGTCTGAAATAGTTGCTGCTGTGATAAAAGAGAGAAATAGCATGAAGTAACTTCCTTAAATGATTTTGGTTGACAGTTCCATAAAAAACATGAATAATTTTCCAGCGAAGCAAATGGGGTAGTTACAGTATGTCATGGATTGCACAGTTATCTAGCATAAATTTCTGGTCTAGTTTTCAGGCAGTGGCTGTTTTACCGTAAAATAATGGAATATGTATTTTGCATCCAGTTAAACCAATAGATATGTGAAATTATCCCCATATCAGAATTATTAATCATTCTCATCCACCCACTATCATTCAAGCATTACTCTAGCTACTCTAAAGAAGAAAAAAATTTGCATCCCGTTTTGCTCCTACTTTCTGCTTTGTGCCTACTCTAAATGAGTTAAATGGAAAACTAGCCTCCCCCTTACTTCAGACATGACACACCTTATAAATTATTATGAATAATTTGATTGATATATTGAGTAATATAATGATCCTGTCTTCATATGGAACTTTCATCACTTAAAATTTAAATTTAGTCTCAGAGCTGAGTCTATAGAGATACGGTCTTTCATTACAATTAAGCTACAGTATGTTATCATAAAGTTTTATATCTAAAATGAGAGGACCCATTAAATTGTTGTATCAATATCTTAAAACTAACAGGGTTTTCATTCTGATTTCTGTGATTCATATATATTTTTGCATAAGTTGCCATCAGGAATGTTCCAGATCAATGTTTTTGGTAGGAGTCTTCCTCTTCTTTAATATTAGGTTTGGGACTAGTACATAGCCAAAAATAATTTCAATGTGATCCATCTCACCAGATGGGATGCTTCTTTAGCAAACACACTGAGCAGATTGGCCTCTTTTCTTTGTAGTGGGAATGACATCCAGATGTCATTGCCACCTTTTTTAGAAGATCCAAACCATCCAGAAGTCAATCTTTTTACTATTTACTGGAACAGGAAATGCATATGATATTACAGCAGGATGTAGACTAAAGAATATAAACTAAAGAGTAAAGAATGTGTGATCCAAAAGTTCTGTAAATTATAGTTTAAGGTTTATAGTTTCAGTTACCGACTATAAACTATATTGTAGTGATGAGAATACATTATTCCTGTGCTGTGACTGTGCATAACGGATTAACTTTGTTTTATTTAGTATATTTGTATGGGAAGCCAACTCAAACTATATCATTCTGAGTGATATACAATAAAAAATAGAAAATAAAAATACTAAAGGTACCATTATAAAGCAAACTAAAACAAGTAAATGGCAATCAGAAATATAATATACTATATTTCACCAGTTGGGAATTTCCTCATTTTGACCCAAGAGTCTGGGGTCAGAGCAAGGTTATTTTCCTAAACTTCATTGGGTGCTTTTTTTAAAAAAAAAAAAGATAAATAATTTCATCAAAAATTATATTTACACAAAAAGGAGTATTGTTATGGCTTATATTAAACCTTGAAGGAAATTTTTCATTAACCAGTCTAACTAATCTAAACCTGTTACAAGTTTTTATATGTTTGGTAAGATGACAGGTTGTAAAATACCATCTTGCATCATATTCCATATTGCCTCCGTATGACCTCAAAATTTCTTTTTACACTACTTAGTGTGAGCAATCTCACCTAATGAGAGAGCATGAAGATGTACAAGAGCGTACAACGCTTCGTTATGAGGAACGGATCACAGAGCTTCATAGCATTATTGCAGAGCTAAATAAGAAAATAGATCGACTGCAAGGAACTACTATAAGGTACAATGACAACTGTATTTATTAACAAGTATGTGGACATACTTCTTGCGTTTGGTGAAAACAATTTCTCTTTCTAAATATACATTCTTTCAGACCATAGATTAGTGACTGAATTCTGTGTTTTGCTTTCCTTATTCATATCCTGGACATTTCATAAACTCTCTTGCCACTGAAGTATATCTTAAATATAACAACAAGTCACCTATAGCTGTTGGACATTCTTTCCAAGTCCTTAGCATTTAATACCTATCCAAATAACACAGAATTAAAAGTTCATTTTAAAAAACCCTTAAGCTTAACTATTTATAATAGGAATGAGCAACCTGAGGCCTTGACAGTCTGTCAACAATCTTCTGGTCACTGGAGAAAATTATATTATTGATAACAGGAGCAGAACAAGTTTTATTTGCAATAACCAGGGAGATTGAGAAGCTGTAACACTCATTTCAGTAATTTCCAGGCCAGTACTGGAAAAGAAGTTGCATGAGGGTTCATAGATAAAACTCTGCTCCATTATAGATCAGGAGCCCTATAATGATAAAGAAAAAAGGTGTTTTAGTCTCTAACAAGATTGCATTTCCAAAAATCCACCCAAAAGTTGTTGAAAAAGTGGCAGTGCCCTGATTTTGCCAGGGAACATGATACTGTGCTTTGCTGACCATTTATGCCATTAGATGATTCTTAATACCTTTCTTTAGTTTCTTACATCTTCCAGAGCTGTCTATCCTTGAAAAATTAAGGCATCACACAGACTATAAATGAGTATTATTTATGAGTAGTCCATATTAATTCTACCAACTACTCTGATCCATTGGTTTTATACAAGAAAAATCTTTAATGTTACATAGATTTGTTGTCCAAATCACAAGTTTTTATCAATAGATGGTAAAATTACATGTACAAAGTATGCAAAATATATGGAGAGTAACATTTTAGTAATGAAGACCAATAGTTTTTATCTAGTATCATCTATGTATGTAAGACTTTGCAAACAAAGTAAGATCCATACTAAATTATAATAAGTTCTTAATGCAATTCCATTTGTTATTCTTTCTTATTCATTCAGTGGACTTATATGACTGTCCATCTCATATTCATGACTCTGGCAGCTAACAAAATAAAAATCCTGATTAAAAACATATGCAAAAAATATAAAACCCATAGCACCCAAAAAATTTTTAAAGTCCCAATTGAACAGTCAATATAACCAAACTGGGGCCTATCTCTAGGGCTTCGAGTTTCAAGCAAATGCCACATCTTCAAGGCCTTATGGAAGGCCAACAGGGAAGAAACCAACCTGGTGCCTGAAGGAATGACATTCCAGAGAGTGGAGTACCAGGACTTCAAAGGTTTTCTTCCTGGGCCCTGCCAGTTTCCATTTACTCCTACTGGACTGAATGGCACAGGTAGAAATGACTTAATGACTTCAAAAATAAATGTAAGCAGAGAGTGTTCAATGCAGTGCAATATTATATATTTCTTCTCTAAGTAGTCTGACTTTCTTTAATGACAGGGTTGATTTGGTTTTTAGTATTGTAAAAAATTTTTCAAATTTTTTCAACAAAGCATACATGAAGCCATACCGCAATATGAGTTGGATAAGGCATTAACACTTTCAAATGCATCTGATGGAGGTGACATAATAATTAAAAAGACAAGCCAATTATCATTCTGAATTATCTTACAACAATGCAATTGTTTACACTCCAGCTGCATGGAAAACATATTTTTAAAGAGATGCAGTTATATACAGTTTAATATGAGATTTGAAAGATAAACTATCTGAAATAGTGCTAGTTAGTTTTTAAAAACACTTGTTACCAAAAGTTTGTAAAAAAAAAAAAAAAGGCTGTAGCATTGTAAATTATGTGTTCATAAATTGTTATAGCAAAAATCAGCATTCTTGCTCTGAGTTATTGCAGCAGAGTGGCTTCGAAGTTGTAATTACTGTAATGAAGTCAAATATACTCTCTTCTGCTTGGTATGCAACAAAATAGATTGACTAAATTCCTGTGTTTTGGAATTTGAATACCTTTGGAAGAAACAATCAACCACAGCAGATCCAGAATGCTATGACCAGGCTTCTATTGGGTAGGGTCCAGCCTCAGCTTCACGGGTTACCATGATTGGTAAACATCATTGTTTCCATGTCAAATTTAAAATGCATGGTTTTACATAAAAATCTCTTTAAAACTTGGGAACTGCCTACCCCATTAGTATATCACTTCGCTCATCATTTGTGAAGTGCTGCCCAAGTAGAAGCCTAGCTGGAATCAACCATGGCCATTGGTATACAGTATCTTTGCCCCAAGGATCATATTAAAACATAGAGTATAATCAAAACTGAGTGTTTTCTGAATTGTAATATAGCTGACCAGACAAAGAATTAACAGATAAACTATGACTAGTTAGAATATGTCTATAGGTTGCCAGAGAAGAGAAGGTTGATCTAAGATTTTTCAGGGGGCATTATAAAAATTAGTTCTATAAAATAGACCTTGGTTAACAAATGTTAAAAGATAAATTTGCAAATTACACCATTAATAAAAATACTAATATTCTTACATATTTGATAGTTCGATGTTTTAAAATGTAATTGTTAACAAAAAAATTTAATAACAAGTATACAGAAAACTATAATCTTGACTTCTAGTAAGAAAAAAATTAAATGACGATTGTTGTGATAGATCAGGTTAACTTTCTGCTTATATGGCAAATAAAACTATAATGTTACCAAGGCAATAAAGGAAATAACAGAAATAATTAAGTTTTATTATCTCTTTTTAAGTGATATGATTCTGAAATTAGAATCGCCTACTGGATAAGTGAACTAGTTATAGCTCAATGTATTTTCATTGTATTTTTTTAAAAGGGCATCGTATTGAAATTCTTTCAAAATATTATAATAGTGGAAAAATACTTTAAATTACAATTCCCTTTTTAATGTTACGATTATTAACTTTTAAAAAATGATTTGAAAAACATTTTCAGTTATATAGTCACTAGAAAGTTTTATTGTTATTTAATAAATATTTTAAGGCTCTGCTCAGTATCAGATGATAAGCTTCAGCTTTTATTATAGGGTATTCATTTTGTATTTTTCTGCCAGAATAAGGTCAACATTAAGAATATCTCATGTGGCTGACTTAGGAAATTGAAAACTAACACTGATGCTTTAATAATGATATATCATGTGATTAATAATAACATTATACATTGTCACAAACTGTCCTTGCTTACAATTTATTTTCTATGCATGCATAATCCTTAACCTTATCAGCTCAAATATAGACAAGGAAATTAAAATCTCTTGGGTCATTAAGGATTCCCTATATAGTCATGGCCTTATGAACTTTTTGAGCTTTGCTGCATTGCTAAAGAAATTTGCCTGTGATTAGACCCAGGTCCCTATGGAGATTAAAACAGGGAAAGGGAGCAGAGTAGCTAAATGTTAGGAAGGATAGTTGGGAAAGCAGCAAGGATGAGAAGAATAGTCTGCTAATAACTTAAAGTGTGATTTTCATGTCTAATATTTTCTATTAGATTATGATTTAGTCTACTGGCAATTAAAAATATCAAAGTAAATTTGCAAATAATTCAACTTTTTATAAGTTTTTAAGACTTAGTAGTGGAAGGATTTTTTAAAAACACATGGAGTGATGAAAGTTATAATGATAACTCTAGAGTATCTTAGAGGTGTAAATACAGTAGTGGCCAAAATTGTGGAAATCTTTTGGGAAAAGTGTATTTTTGAGGTTTGATGGCTAATAGCACCACTTTTGGGGGGAGTAGTGCCATAAAATTATATATCAATGGAAAGATAATTTAATCAAGAATGTAATGCAACAAAATTTGTTCAATTATCTGTACTGTGTTCTATGAAAAGTTGCAGCCAAATAGCCAGAAAAGGAAGCACAACTTGCTTAGGTTAATATCAGGTAGCTTTCTTTCATCTGATTGTAGCCAATGAGCATGAGTATTTAGAGAGCCAATCAGGTGTCATCTTGTTTTGGCAATGAGCCAATCAGATCACAGTAGGATTCAGTTATTGATGTCATCTATTGAAGCTGAGAGGAAGATATTTGTCAGTGTGTTATGTGATTGCTATCAAGTTGGTTGAGTTTTTTTTGTGTTCTTTCATTTAGTGAGCTTGTAAAACGTAATAAAATTAAAGTAATGGTGCAAAGAGTTAACTGGTTTTCCAGAAAGCAATGTAAAATAGTATTATTAAATGAACAAGGCTACAATTATAAAGAAATTAGAAGAAAAATTGGTGGAAACTTAACTAAAGGTGGCATTTCTATTGTACACTTTTCCCAAAAAGTTTCCACAATTTTGGCCTCTACTGTAAGACATAGAATTAAATTGAGTCCTATTGTTTGCATCCATACTAGATTTTTTTTGCCAGGGTTATGAAAATAACTTACCACTTTTTCTTCTAGGATTTTTTTTACATTATAATGTACCTATGAATAATTAAAAAAAGATAGCTAAGCACTGTATCGTTGAATCTTTAATATGCTATAAAGTTTGCCTCAAAAGGTCTAATTCTTCTATTAAAATAGAGGCATTGGTCTAAAATTCATTAATGCAAGCAAAAGAGTACTGACAATATTCACCATTTGAAATCATTTTCCTATTGAAAAAAATAGCTAAAAGGATAAATATCATTGCTGTTTGCTATTTTTTCTTTATTCTGTGTAAAGAGTTGTATGTGTTTGTATAATTCATCAAATAGATGTTAGTTCAAAATATATGATTTTTATAAGCTTTTGAGGGTGAAGACTTGTTTCTCATTTAGCTTAATTAAAATAACATTTCTAACGTCCATTTATTATGTTGTGGATTATTTAATAAATTTAGATCAGTTTATCCTTGTCACTTTTGGAAGTATCTGAAATAATGACTTGAAACAAGCAAACTGTATTTGATTAACTCTTAATTTTAGGAATGCTTATCTAGCGAATATAGAGGTGTTTAGCTTCTGTTTAGATCTTCACTGGTGTATGACATATTCTATACACCAGTGATAGCGAACCTTTTAGAGACCCAGTGCCCAAACTGCAACCCAAAACCCACTTATCACCGGGTGCCGTGTGGCCGTGGTGGTCATGGCAGACTGGGTGGGCAGGGCCAGGGTGGCAGGGGCCAGTCCCTCACCATCTCCAGGGCACGACATGCATGCCCAGAGAGAGGGCTCTGAGTGCCGCTTCTGGCACGCGTGCCATAGGTTCGCCACCACTGCTATACACTGTCATTTAGTATGCTGTGAAAACTTATCTTGATAGCAAATTATTCTTTGCTTTGATGCTGTATATTTATTTTAACTATAAGTTTGCTATGTGAGGGAAATTGCTTATTTTTCTTAACCCTAACCCTAATGAAAAAATAAAATTCAATTTCTTTTTTTTCCCTTTACACTCAAAAAGGATTTTCCTTTTTCCATATTCCTTAGACTATAAATCTTTTAACTTCACAAAATTGATTTGTTGCACAAGGGAACAAAGTCACCCATTCAGATTACCCAAAGGTCAGAAAAAAATGGAGGATTGTTAATCAGTATTCATATGAGAGAACTAACAGTGAGAAGATGTAATACAAATATTAACATAAGTTGAATTATAACAACACTTTTATTCACACAGGATTTCAAACTATAGATATCAAGGTATTGTGGCAGCACTGATTAAAACAGAATGAAAGTTGGAAAAGAGCCAATTTTTAGTTTGTGTGTGAAACCATGAGAGAATTACTGTGCACACACCCTGTCAGCATCCCAAATTAATTCCTTAGCGGAGGAGTGTGTGGGGAGTAAAAGTTTGTGTAATTTATATAATTTCTTGTGTTTTGTTTAATGAGAAAAGCAAATATATATGATCTGTTATTAGAAGGATAAGTGATAACAATCAACGATTAGTAACTAGAAAACTAGGTTTTTGTAGAGAGCTTTCATCAACTCAGCATATTTCAAAATAGTTCTGTTATTATGTATATTAATAATTCTCAAAAATAAATTTAAATAGCATAGCAATTAGCTGTATCCAGGATATCATATATATGATATTTCTTTTTTTATGTATATATTTATTATATATACAAAAAACATACATCCAACAGTAACAACAAAAAAGAAAAAAGTGTATATAAAAGGAAAAAAAGAGAAAAAATGACCCAAACATCCATCATTAAACATATAAAAAAATCCAGTCTGATTGGATGCTGAAAAGAAAAATTAAAAAACCCTAATAAATACATGATATTTTTGAAGCATTAGTAGTTATGCAGACTTTAATATGCTCTCATTAGGACCATGTATTAGATCATTGAAAATTTTATATAATATCTTCTGAAAAGATGAATTATCATTGAAGATGGTATTTGTGATTTGAAAGAATTAGTCTTCCTTCTCTAATTCTTCTGGAAGGAAGACTGCTAAAGTCTTTAGTAATTATTTTAATTATCAATTACATTTTCAATTAAAACAACACTAACACATGCCTAAGGTAAACAACTTTATTGAAGTATCAAAATTAAACAGCAATAGTATTGAAATATTAAAATGCAAAATTTAAAAACTCTGAGAAAAAATATGATAGTCTTCTTAAAAAGAGGCTGATTCCAAAAATGTGTATTAAGAAAACTGTATCCTCAGCTAGGTAATAGTTTGAAAGAAAATGAGCTGTTATAATTTCTGTAACAGCTTGAAATGTTTACATATGCCATACACTTATTAAATAGCCATACACAAATAACTTTCAGTCTGGAGTCATACTGTGTTTGCTGTAATACAATTTCCCATAGCCTAGAGCAGTGGTTCTCAATCTTTTTAATGCCGTGACCACCAACCGGTCGTAAGTCAAGGACTACCCAACCGGTCATAAGTTGAGGACTTTCCCTGCCTGGGAGCGCCGTGCATGCGTGGTGCCGCCCCCTGCGCCGGCCGAGGCGTAGCTGGAAAGTGGCAGAGACGCCGCAGGCCGACCACCGGCTGGGCCACCAGCTGGCCCAGCCCAAGGGAGGTAAGGCACCCGCCAGGCCCCACGCGCCAGCAACCCTCCCTGCGCCCGCCGGCCTCCCACCCCTGGCCCACTTTTACTTACATTTTTAGTAGTTGCTCAGCAGGGAGGGGTGGAAACTTCCAGACAGCTCGCCTTCGCTGCAGAAAACTTGCAGCCCCATTTGCAGAATGGGACTTTTGGCAGGCTCAGCAGGGCAGAGACAGCCTGGACAATTCCTATTGGCTTTTGAAAGCCAATATAATTAGACTCTATTCAAGACAGTCTATTCTGTTGGCTTTCAAAAGCCAATAGAATAAAAGGGAGTAGCACAGTTAAGGAAAAGGGGAAAAAATGGCGGACTGCGTTGTTTGGCGACCCCCTTGAAATGGTCATTCGAAACCAAATGGGGTCCCAACCCACAGGTTGAGAACCACTGGCCTAGAGTCTTCCCGATGTGTTGAACTTCACAATTTTCAGTCAGTATGACCAATACATCTAGAACAGGGCCCCCAACCCCGTTAGGAGCTGGGCCTCACAAATGGTGGGCAAATGAGCAAAGCTTCATCTGTGCATGTACGGGATCTAGGTTGCGCAAACAAACACCACCATCCTGGTCCATGGAAAAATTGTCTTCCACAAAACCAGTCCCTAGTGCCAGAAAAGTTAGGATTAGGGATGTAGAATACCAAGAAATCAAAAGCTGTGATACCTCAAATAAAAGAGATGGTACAACACATTTTTGAAGAAAGTACTTACTGGATTCATATAATTATATTTAATTTTGTATATTTTTAATATATGTGATATCTAGGTGAGATGGAAGCACTTATGTACTAAAATATGCAAGAAAAAAATGCACGGCATAAAGAGGCATGTGGGAAACACAACTGTGCAATGAAATCATACTTAAGTTAACTCAGAAATACTAATATTAACATGAGGCAGATTATTAGCCTGCATATGTTTTAAATAAAGGGAGCATGCTAAACTGAAATATGTTAGACAGATTTCTTTCAAAACTAAATTAATTTTGAAAAAGATATTCCTTAAATGGATTCTATAAAATGAAAACTAGAGAAGAAGACTGATCAGTCTTTCCTTTAAAATAAGGAAATTGCATGTGTAAGGGATGCTCTCCAGATTGTTGCACTGTGTTCAGCTATAACAAGTATGCAATGTTTGTTTTCACAAAGAAAAAGCTAACATTACCTCCTAGTTTGAATTTAACCCAATTTGGCTAAATAGAGCAAATTTGAGATTCATTGCATCTTGTGTGTTCAGTTTTAATATGGTGATAAGCTCTTTCATTAGGAAAGAAGTAATTCAAGTTTTGAAATGAATGACTAATTGCAGAGAGTTGACTAAGCATGCAAACAAATAATCCTTCTAACCAAAAAAAAGACATATCTTCAACATCATGGTAATTGTTTTTTTGCCTAAAGCTAATTATTATTGGAGTGTAATGTTCCTAGCAATTAAGTATTCATAGAGCATTAACCAATATTTCATTATCGTGTATTTTGATTTGTGTGCCAGTTACTGTGCTATTTAGAATTTAGTTCTCTTATTTAATAAATATATAGCTTTGATCTCAATTTTAAACAAACTTCTGACATGTTTTGAATATTTTTGGTTCTCCTAATAAACTTCTAATTTGAATTTAATTTTGATAATTTGAATAGTTATGCACTTACACAAAGAGCAAATAATAATTTTATGTTTTCCTTTTATCAGAAACAGCTAGCATTTGATCATAAATAATTGCTATCCTTTTAAAGGAAAGTCTTCAGCCAATTGAATATAGGCATCTTTGAAGGAATTTTGTGGGCATCCGGAGTATTCCATTACTGCCTTCAATTGTAGTTGAATAGTTGCACTTAATATTTTCTTAGGAAGGAGAAAACCCTTGAACTATATATTTAAATAAAATCTATTTCTATTGGAATGTGTTATTGAAATATTTGTAAATAGTTTGCTGTACAATGTGTCAACACAGTAAGATAAATTTCCTTTTAAGGTATGAAATAATGACTTCTGTAGTTCTTAAAGTATTAATTTTAGCATGCCTGAAGAAATGTGCTACTGAAGATAATTCCTAGCTATAGCCTTCTGTGAAAGAAAGTGACTGATTTTTCCAACTTGATATATTTTCTGTTCATTTATATACTGCTAATTAATATTGTGAAATAATGAATTTCTTAAAAGTGAAACACCCCACCCACTAGCAAAAGAATAATGCAAGAAAAATATGAGAGATCCCTGAGAGTAGATTAGATAGACCTGGGTTGAAAGTGGAATTGTATAAGCTATGTATTTCTGACCATTTCTGTGCTGTTCTGAAAACCTGGAAGTTACAAATGGTAAATAAATAAAATAACAATTTGGAAGCAGAGTTTAAATAACTGAATACTAGTACAAAGCACTGAATGTACTGTAGCTTTATTTTCTGTACCTTCTGGGATCAATTTTATGCTTTATGTTCCCTTCATTGACCATTGTATTAATGTTCTAGATCTTAGAAACAGATATTACTGAATGTAATATAGAATATCTATAAAAAGCATCTTTGATCATTTGAAATTATTAAACTACATTTGTTCAGTTTCTGTTTATTTATTCCAAATATTTTATGTTTCATTCCTCAGAGAAGAAGATGAATATTCTGAACTGCGATCAGAACTCAGTCAGAGTCAGCATGAGGTCAATGATGATTCACATAGCATGGACCAAGATCAGATCTCTGCTTCCCTTCCAGAGAACCAGTCAACTATGGTCACAGCTGACATTGGTATATTGAATATATTTATAGTTGTAAAAGATTGATTAATTTTTTAATAAAGCTTATAGTGCCATATTTCAATAGATTTAAATAACTAGCAAACCTTCCTAATCTTTTAAAATGTGAGGTAAACAGCTGCATTTAATAATTTTTTCTAGCCTCTTTGAAGGAAAAAATGACATCCAAAAAATGACGTTGAAAGGAAAGTAAAAATATCAAACATTATTTTTTAATAATACAAGTATTTAAAATACACATAAATATCAATACCCAGAAATAAGTATAGAATATTAATTTCAGCAAAGGTTGCAGTGAGAATGTTTGTATTTGAGAATTCAAATGCAGTAAAAAATATCAAAAATAACATAGGAGGTAATCCTTTTTAAAAATATTTGCAAAGTGCTGAAGTAAATCATTCTCATTTGTCCTTTTACTTTTTTAAAATATTCTGAAATAATTTACTTTAAATATAGCATTTTATTCAATAGTACATTAAATTATTAGTTTTTGAAGATTTCTTCTTATGCAATTAACTGTATAAATTCATAGATTGCTAGTACTATTAGATCAGTAACAAAGGAAATGAAAAGCAGTGTTCTTCCAAGACTTGTTGCTTTCCGAAAGCTGTATAATTTTTATACAGATGGCAGGTTTCAGATAACATTTGGCTGAGCTGGGAAGTGTTAGGGACATTTGTTTGTGTCAGAATGACTCTAGTAATCATGGTTTTTGTCAAGCTCCAGCAGATTTTGTGGTTCCATTGTCTGGGCCTATAGCCAATGTGCTATGTAGAAATAACTTGTGACAGAAAGAGTCAGTATATCAAGTCACATTTTAAAGATTCTGGATTCTGATGTTTAGTTCAGAGAGATAAGATGTCTTCTAAACCTACCAATAATTTATTGGTAAGAGTATGTTGTATAGTGTGTGTCTCAAATTTTCCTGAATATACATGTGGAAATCTTTGTTTCTTATGGCATATAAATTGGTTCAGCTAAGAAATTGATTAAATTACTGTTGCCCTAGCTATTGCAAAATATTTGAAAAGTAAATGTTTGATTGGATCTGTAAAATGTACAAAATTGCTATAACTAAAAAAAAGTCAGCATATAAAGGAACATTGAAACACTGCAATTGAAGATAATTTTATTCAAATCTACTCACCATTTTCAGACTATAAACAATAATTTTCCAATAGATCTATATAGTGCTTTTTTTGTTTAAAAAAAAAAAGGTGCCGGAACTCACGCACTGCTCCAGCTCCAGTCGAAAGCCATTACGGAGCCGGGGGGGGAGAAGAAACTGCTTTAGGGAGCTTCCGAGGTGCAGATCACTCACCTGGAAAAGGTCTGTCTCCTCTCTGCCGTGGTTCTTGCTGCCGCTCCGATCTGAAGCCAGGGGATGCGTCCACAGCCCCCCGTGGCCCGATACGGGCTCCAGAGGCGTGGAAAAGACCTCTGCCTCCTGGATCTATGGCCATGGAGCTATTTTGCAGGGGGGGGGAGCAGCCCTATCTGGGCTCCGGAGACCTTTTCCAGGTCTCTGGAGCCTAGATCGGGCTGCTGGGAACATATAAATTCATCCAGAGTAAAATCTTTTAGAAAAACTAAGATTTATCAGTACTTAGCAAATAGTTTCCTATACAACTAGGCTTTACATTCAAGAAGCTTCTTCTGTTTAGTTCATATATGTGAAAGTAAAATTTTAATTTCAGTGTTCAGATTAGGCAATATTCATTTACAGTATATCAGGGCTTTTCAACCGGTGGTATGCGTACCACTTGTGGTGCATTAATGAGTGGCAGGTGGTACGCAGCCCTGCCTAGCTAAGTGTAGTGGGGGAGAGAAAGAGACAGCACAGGCAAGGACTTACTATGAGAGAATTCTCTGGAGCTGCAAAGGCCCCAGGCTCACTTCTGGCTCACCCTCCCCCATGAGAAAGGAGGAGGAGGAGGGGGGCAGAGACAGGAGAGGCTATAAAAGGAGGCAGTTTGGGCAGGAGAGGGGGAGAGAGAAAAAGAAGCAGGAGGAGGAGGAGTCAGCTCTAGCTGCACCGAAGGGAAAGAAGGAGGAGGAGGAGGAAGAGGGTGGGGGGAGAGGAGATCAAGCAGGCCGGCCATGAGCCAGTCTACAACTGCTGTGGCAGCCACCTGTGCTGGCAGCAGCAAACAGGCAAGAAATGCAGTGGGGGAGGGGTCACCCTCTAAGAGGAATGAAAAAAGGCAGCAATGGCTGGAGGTGAGGTGGGGGGAGGGAGATGGAGAGTGGAAGGATTCTTATGTGCTTTTGTGACTTTGAAGTTCTGGTATTTGTGCAATGTGGGCTTTGTGTTCTGAAGGAGTGTTTGGCAATTTCTATTTGGCTGATGTCCGGTGTTAGCTTTTATTGCTCTGCTATTGTTAGCTGTAAGTTTTGCTGCAAGGGATTTTGAAGTATTTTTCTCCTGAATGGATTTTGCCTGTAGCATTCCTTTACTTACAAATGGAGCCAGTTGGGCAGGCTGCCTTAGCCGGCAGCCAAAACTTACTACATTTTTTTTCTTCCTTAAGTGCCGGCTGCACTCAACTTTCCTTTCTAGTCAGTAGCTAATTCTTAATGGGGAATGTGCCTTTTTAAGTTTGTCTTTTCTGTCTCTGGAGGCTTTTCCTTGTTTGATGAATATATGGAAGAGAGAAAATATGGGGGGGGGGGTGTTGTTCAAATTCTTCCTTCAGAAGAAGGTGGGCATGAGAAAGAGGAAGGCAGGGAAGGAAGTCCCACCTTAGCACTTAGCCACCAGTAGCCCTACCATTGACTTTGCTTGTCAAAAGGTTGCAAAAGGGGATCACATGACCCTGGGACACTATGGCCATCATAAATATGAATCAGTTGCCAAGTATCCAAATATAAATCACATGATGTTGGGCATGCTGCAATGGTCATAAGTGTGAAAAAATAGTCATAAGTCATTTCAGTGCAATTGCAACTTTGAACAGGTTTTGTTTTGTTTTTTTTGGTCATCAAGTTTTTGACACCTTGCTAGGTGGTACTCAAATATTGCCATATCCTAAAAGTGGTACAATCGGTGAAAAGGTTGAAAAGCCCTGATTTATATTGTCATTTTCTTCCAGACTCAGGTTACTTTTCAACAAAATTATAGCAACATATTACTTTGATGAAACAAATTGATTTATTTTTTTAAAAATGGCTTTCTTTACTAAATAATAAATATGGTCAGAGAAACAATGGTATCCCATTGAATAGACCAAGATTTTTACATATCTTGGAATTCATTTTGAATCTACAGCTGCTTAGAATTAACAAATGGCTTGAAAAGCTGTTGTTGTATGCCCAGAATCTTCCAAAACTATAATTAATTTTCCTAGTTCTAATGCTAGTTAGAAATATCAGCCAAATCTAATTTTCCAGGGTGGGTCATTTGTTCATTTAGTCCTTGCTGACAAGTTTATTTCTTCTTAAGAAAAATGCATGGCCTTGGAATTGTCTGACTGCAGCCTCATAGCCCAGTCCCAATGGTAGAAGTCAGACTTCTTGATTTGGATCTGTAAAAGGACAGATATTCTGCAAAGGTTCAAATAATTTTTATGGGAAATTTTCCAAAGACCACCTCTGTCTCTGTTCTACCGGGGGGGGGGTGGCATTTACATTGCAAGATTCAATGTTTTACCTTGACCTGAAATGGAACTTCTGCAATTTTTACAAATGGATCAATTTATTGACATATTAAAGTTGTTAAATTCTGCTGGTTTTCTTGTTAGAATTCTTATAGAAAATACTTCTAATATATTCTTCAATGACACAGAGGTTTGAGTGATACTATAAATTTATCTTATACTATATAGAAAGTTGCCAACATTTAATATTTCTCATTAACTTTTGTTCCTTTTGTATGTTAATTCTCCATTATGTTTTATTAGTTCATAACTATATTTTGCTTTCATTTTGATTCATGATCATAAATAAAATAAGTGAAAATACTTTGGATTCTATAAACATTACCCAATAAATTCAGTAGGAATATATATTGCTTGCCTGACACTTTTGTTATTGTCACCTATGAAAGATAAGTATATTATTGAATGCATTTAGTTTATTCCTCACTACCAACATTATGTGGGTGGACTATACCAATTCATCTTATGACAATCCAGAATAATAAATGTAATCAGAGATTCATTGCAGGCAGAAACAGAGATCATCTCACTTTTTTGAAAAAAATTGTAATGAGAATATAGTGCTCTGATATTACAGACACTTATAAGGTGTAATAAAATATAAGTGAACCATGCTAAAGATTGCTTAGAACAGACATGTCAAATTTGTGACGTCATGTGACGTCGTGCAACGTATAGGAGCTTTTTTGCCATTGCCGGCAATGGGGTGGGCGTGGCTCTGGTATGATGAAACTGGCCCACGGGCCAGCAGTTTGACACCCCTGGCTTAGAAGAATATAATTACATTACACTGAAGATTTCTGGTTTGCCTTATTTGTTGACTTTAGTGATATTGTGTAGATGTTTCACATTTTTTGCAAGGTCACCTTACCATTGAGGTCCTCAAGTTAATGTTTTGTCATGTTGTTGAAAATCAGGCTCCCAACTTTTAGGCTGATTGGCTGGTCTCAAAAAATCTAAACAAAGCCAGACCTGATTAATACTTGGATAGAAGATTATCAGGAAATCCGGGGGGGGGGGTGGGAGCCAAAAGATAATGGCAACCAACATCCATTTGTATTGTTCTGAAAAAACAACAACCTTGATTTCCCTTACATAGAAATCGAGCAATAGGAACTTTAAGGCTGAATTAAAGAAGATAGTATTTGAACTAATCTTTTACTTAGTTGTCAGGTGACCATTGGTAGGTTGCAAGATTAGGATATTAGTACTGTATTTTCAAGGAAAATTTGAATCTGCACCCTTCTTCTCTAATCCTATTAGAAAGATGAAGAGGTAGTCTCTTCTGCAATGCTCATCTGACACATTCTGTTTATTTCAGATACCTGTAGTGACTTAAACTCGGAATTGCAGAGAGTGCTGACAGGACTGGAGAATGTTGTCTGCGGGAGAAAGAAGAGCAGCTGTAACTTGTCTGTGGCAGATGTCGACCGGCATATTGAACAGCTCACAACTGCCAGTGAACACTGTGACTTAGCCATTAAGGTGTGGTAATGTTAATTGTAACTATTTATAGAATGTAATGCAATTGGTCCAAATGTATGATTGTTTATTTAATAAAGAAGCATTTATTTATTTATTAAATAAATTTCTGTAGCTGCCATTTCACACATGGGCGACTTCAGGCAGCTTGTATTATTTAAAGATCTACCAGATAAAACCTATAAACTACACAAACATACATGATACACTATTCCATGGCAACAACCACATAATCAAATTAGTCACTTGATTGGCTTCATCTCCATTTATGGCCCTATGCCTGCTGACAAAACAATGTTTTTAGGGCAACATGATAGGGAGTCTTGTTTATGATTATGCACTGAATTGGTCTGGGGTAGTCTGGGATAGTGCAACCTCACCCATGTCCAAAGATGTTAATTCTCCAAGAGCCAAAGAGGCCTAACCCAGAATCACTTCATCTTTTAGTCTGTTCCTCCTCATCCAGACCTCAATACCCTTCAGGCACTAAGAGAGAGTAATTGTAACGTTGGTTAACTCACCATAGGCAGAGATGTACGGCCAAACATCATCAGCATATTGATGATATCTTATGCCAATGTGATGGATGATCTCTCCCAGAACTTTCATGTAGATGTTAAACAGGAACAGAGAAAGTACTGACCCTTGATGGACCTCGCAAAGCAAGGGTTCAGACCTCTTGCCCCAATCAGCTTCAACTAAGAATGGTTCCAGAGACAGGAAATAAACCAGTACAATGCAGTGCCCCCCACCCCAACCCCTGGAACCATGGTCAATTTATAAGGTCAAGTAGAGCAAGAATGGACCAATACCCCAGTCACATTCCCACTAGAGATCATCAAAGTGAGCGACCAGTGCTGTTTCTGTTGCATATCCAGGCCTGATATGCACTGTGTATATCATTTTATAGACTTTCAAAATTTGTACACTTTGTAAAGCATTTTAAGACATAATAAACAAGTTAGACTTCCTATTTGAATGAGTATTATACTTATTAATAATAAGGAAATTTTCTATGTGCTGCATTTCTTGTTCAAAAAGGAAAATGCTATTATTTTTTTAAAAAAAATATGTATTCCAAAGGGATTTTGTTTTATTCCTTTTTTTATACTCCAGAAATGAAGTTCATTCATGCATCCAGAATCTGAAAAGCTGAGGGAAGGATCCTGAATTTTGATTTAAAGATGATCTATGTAGGTCATCTTTAAATCTGTGCTGTTTCATAAAACACCAGGTTAAAAATGAGAATTTGTGGATAGTAATAGAAATTAGAATTATAATGATACATCAGGAGATGATTAAGAGGGAAGAGGGTCTGCTTTGGTCAAAACATTTAAAAAATATTAAAATGAGAAATTTTAAAAATGAGCACACCATTAGGCTAATACAGAAACATGTCTTCCTAGAAACAATTATTAGTTAATCAATGTTCCTGCCACCTTTACACACCTATTCAGAATTGAACGATCATAGCTCAGCCTTAATGTAGTGTAGTGTACACTTGCAATAAGAAATAATAGTATTGCAAGCATGTATGTTTTAACTAGAATAGTTATTAAAGTGTATTATAATTGCACAAATTTTACCTGAATTTATACATCTTGATTCATGCTAATTTTTAAATGCTAATCACATGCAAGCATGAGTTTCATAAGTGACTAAAGTTATTGATACTATATAGCACTTTTGTATATGCAGGTAAGTTTTACAGGTAGTCCTTAACTTATGACCTCAATTGGGACCAGTACTTCCATTGCTAAGCATGTGAATGGAAAGATTTCATTTTGGTTACATATTCAACTTTTCTCAAAAGTACTAAATCCTTCTTCTGCCACTTCATGTAAATGGGACTTATGAATACCTTATGGCATAACATAAGCATGATTTTCTTTATAGAAATCAGTTTTGCTATGACTGTAGCAAATGTAATATTGCCCATATCCTTGGGGAGTTTTAGAATTCTCTATCTTGGAAAACTTTGACAACAGATCTATGTCTCGTGCTCAGTTATTCCTATGTCCCATCTTTCTTTTTTTATTAATTCTTGAGCCGGCAAAAAACTAAAGCAACATAACATTTTCTGCCTCAATTGCTGATCCTTAGAGTCCCTATTCTGGCTTGCTGCCAACTAAGATGTCCTCACCTGACAAAATGTAGGGATGGACTAGGATTTGATATCTGGACAACACACCTGCTGCCAACTTCTGTCCCAAAGTGTATAAATATACAGGCAAAGAACATTGAAAATTGTCTAGACATGTCTTCTTTTCAATTCTACATGAATTATTTCCTTTATTCCTACACATTGAGAAGAAAAAGAAAAAGGCAAGAAGCGAGTGGTTTTTGCTTAATCCATAGCTGGAATACTTTAGGTTAATTGAACTAGGAATAATAATTATCCCTTTATTGCTTCATAGCCAACTGTAGCTTTGAAGTCAGACTAAAGAAGAAATATACTTGCATAGCCACAGACAACATATTTGGCCAAGTGTAAAGGGAGAGGACAGATTGCAAGTTCTATCATCTTTAGAGAAGACCAAGGAAAATGCTCCCTGTCCTCTCATACTGATGGTTTCCCCACTCCAGTTCATTTGGGGAGGGGATAAAAAGAGATTTATATGGCACGGTTTATTGCCTTATTATTCAACTCCTCCAGGTATGATTATCTGCTGAGAGATAGCAGATTTAGTGCTCTTCAGAACTTCAAAGTTTTTACAGTAACATCTCTTGTCAAAAGAAACCAGCTGTCATTTCTTTGGTTACAAAATAGTAAAATGGAAGAGCCATTTCTTTTAAAATTTGGGTTTTGCAAAAAACAGGTCTCCAACATTTTACGTGCTGCTGTCTCAGACATTGATAAGCTGTCTGGCTACATGCATGCAGCTTCCTAAGAGAGCTGAGATGAGCAGCTCTATCCTGGTTTTCTTCCTGGAAAGAGATGAAAAAGAATGGTAAACTAAGGAGAGTCCCCTGAACTCCAGATTGAAATTGCAATTGGCTGTTCCCAGTCTCTTTGGGTCAGACTCTATTGCATAGCAGACAAAATAGTCAGTAAAACACTTCAAATTTATGCAGATTGAAACTGCCATAGGTTACTGTTATCTGAATAGTTGTACAGAACATCTTTTAGACTGTGTGTATTCCAGATAAGGAGCCTATAGTGTTTGCATTAGTAAGTGGTAGTTCATTCAGTTAACAGTAACTTTTTTCTCAATTAGTTAATGAAAGCAGCAGTAAGTCCACTTAATATATTGACTGATTAACCGGAATGCACTTTGCTATCCATTTTAGAGCTTAATTAGAATGTTTCATGTACTTCATTGCCTACTGAGCAAATATGCTGTACAAATGTCAATGGTTTAGTATTGCTTACATTAGCATAACAAGATGTGAATGAAATAGCCTTTTTTATCTTTAAAAACTACAATTTTCTCTTGACTGAGTCTTAAACATAGCTGTATGTATTTGGTTTGGAGGCAAGCGCAGCCCAAGAAAGTAAAATAGAAAAGAGTTGAGAATATCACAATTACAAATTTTAAACAAATTTGAGTTGTGTTTTCTTTTCAAATAAATCACTGTTATTTCAAAGAAGTGAATACATGACAATATAAAATACATAGCACTTAACAACAATAGCATATGAATTCCAGCTGCTGTTATGAATCTATTACTGTAAATAAGTTGTAACAAGTATTGTCTTGCAAACATAGTTGTTAGTAATCTATGTCAATAAATCTCATAGAAATACTCATAATTTCTTTACCTCTAAAGAAACACCTACCTATTTGCATAGTATCCTTTATCTTATACTTCAGAATTTTTAAAGTTATTTTTAGTTTTTCAACCAATAGCTGGCCTTTTACTGTTCAGATTGACTTGGTAAAAAGATATATATGAGGGAAACGCTTCAACATAAACCAAGAAAGTGTTCATATCTTTGGGGTGGGGGGATATTGTCTGCATATATTTTGGATTCCTTATTTCTTTCCTTTGCCAGGCTTAAATCAATTTTTGTCCATTTCCGAGTTAATTAATTTTATAAATATCCACAAAAATGTTTGGGGGGAGAAGAGAGAGAGAGGAAAAAAAAGTATTCTCTGTGCTGGTAGCAAACAACACCGTTTTCACACAACCTTTATTGTTTGCCAAGTGATTTCCAAGTCCAATGTAAAGTGCTTCTATTCTATAAAACTCTTCCTAGTTTGGCAGCTGCTTACCTGCAGTACTGCCTTCTTTTGTCAGTTTCACCCAAACCAACATTTTTTTTCCCAAGGAGAAGCTGCTGCAGATCCTACATTTTGAGGAGGTGTGAGGGACTGAGGCAAGGAGGTGATATTTTTCTGTCAATAGAATGCCAACGTTCTGAAACAGACTCCCCGTGGAGATCTGGTTGGCTCCATCTTTTCTGTTTTTTTTAAAGCTCTTAAGACTAAGCTGTTTTGGATACCCTAAATTGCAATTTAATGTTGTCAATTTCTTTATTCTTTTTTTATATTGAGGCATTGCTGTTGTGTTTTTATTTTTTGTATTGGGTATGTTTTATATTGTATTTTTTTTTCCATCTAAGTTGACATGTTTATGAAAACAAAAGGTTTAAGGAATTCCGGTTTAGAAAATATTTTTTATTTTCTGTTTTACTTTGTTTTTTTATTCTGGCTGTATATAGTAGATGTAGCCAGAATAACACATATATTCTGTGTGTGTGTGTGTGTGTGTGTGTGTGTGTGTGTGTGTGTATACCTACACACATATATACATACACAAACACACCTTTTCTTTCAGTCCTCCCAATAAAATATGTATGGGATCTAAAAGTCATAAGAATAAAAACACTGATTTTCATAAAAGATTAGGAAAGATTATATGAAATGTTGTATTCTAATTCAAATCCGGCATGGATCCAAATAAATTGGAGCAAGGATGTGGAATAGCAACAGTATCTTTTAGTATATTTTTCCAATTATGTTGGAACTAATCTATGGATAAAGGACTAAAATGGTAGTATAAATTCTCAAAAATGATCAAAATGATCTACTAAACAGCAGTGAACTAATATGAATGTGTATAATCAGAGATTCCTCATGATACACTTCTCTAAAATTTTAATTTATTATGTTTTTCAGACAGTTGAGGAGATTGAAGGTGTGCTTGGGCGGGATTTGTACCCAAATTTGGCTGAAGAAAGGTCCCGATGGGAGAAGGAACTGGCAGGTTTGAGGGAAGAGAATGAAAGCTTAACAGCAATGTTGTGCAGCAAGGAAGAAGAATTAAACAGAACTAAGGCCACCATGAATGCTATCCGTGAAGAACGAGACAGATTACGCAGAAGGGTGAGATTTCTTGATTGACATCTAATTTTGTGAGAAAAATGAAGTTGCTACAATAAAGAGCTGTTTCATCTCTCTCTCTCTCTTTCTCACTCTATCTTCTAAATTGGAGGGGGTTAATAATTTGGCTGATTCTTCTTTTCCCTACTGCTGCTAGGGTTGCCAGTAAAAGGTAATACATAAAGTAATCCCAACCTGTCCAAATGTAGAATCCTTAGCACTTCCATATTGACTTTCACCTCAGCTCCAAGAAATATAAACGAAGGTACTTTATATCTTCCTTACCAAAATCAAAAAATATAGAATTTAGCAAAATCTTGTGAGCCTCCTAGAAACACAATGAATAGTAGTGCAGTCTGGTGCCTGGGAAACTTTTAATCAGATATTCCACTTTTAAACAAATGAAGCCAAAACTCTAGATATAAAGAAGACAACAGGAAGGCAACAATCACATATAGTATTCCAGATAAAAATAATTCAGAGTATCGAACTAAATTGTATGTATTATTATTTGAAAAAAATCTTGGCTTTCCAAATAAGTTCAGAGTTAATTGCAGAGAGGATGGCTTGGAACAGAACATCTGATCTGCCTCAGGACCTTCAAGTTTAATAGAATATACAAAATAACAAAACACTAGTATCTTTTGGGTGACTGGTGCTTTCCCCAATTAAGCAAACAGTTCTGCCTTTAATGATCTAGTAAACAAATTGAAAAAAATTATCTGCCAGCTGAAGTTATAGTCCTAGAAATCTGATACTGCTGACTAGTTTTTTACAGTTATGCCATTGTATATAAAGGATTTTATGGAAGAGACTTCTGAGAATGCAAAAGATTAATTCTGTCTTCCTAGTGTTGGGGTAGGGCTGAATCAGACTTCATTGATATTTTGAAGAGTGCACTTCAATCATATGTGGGGCAGAAACGTTTTGGAAGCAGGATATTTAATATCTGTGGTGTATGTTGAGTGCATATATATATATATATATACACACACACACACACATATATATATGGTACATATATATATATGGTACACACACATATATATATGGTACATATATATATATAGTATACACACACACACACACACATATATATGTGTGTGTGTGTGTGTGTGTACCATATATATATATATATATATATATATATATATATATATATATATATATATATATATATATATATGGTACAAATAAAATACGAACACCAGGAGAGTATAAATATAAAAATATACTTTACTAAAAGCTGCCAAGCTTTCGTTTGGAAACTCCAAACATCATCAGGGCTAAGGGATACCTGGCCTCCATCCTGAACAGATAGATGGAACTTTGGCCAACCCTCTACACTCCAGGGACACCCCCGTTTCGCCCGATCAACACCAATACCACTCTAATGAACGTCTGAGGAGGCTACCACTGTCAAACACACGTAATCATCCACCGATGGAAGACCTCCCCCTCCCCCAATATCATCATGATAGACCCCCACTCCCAGAACTTAACAACAACTGTGGAGAGTGTGGAAGATCCAGCATGAGGAGCCTGCAGCCTGACGCTGTGGGTAGAGGGGAGAAGAAGAATGAAAGCATGGCTCGATTGCCTAGGCATACGGTGAAAGGGAGAGACACGGAATTCTGCCTGGATTCCCTGCAGACAAGGAATACCCCCACCAACAATACAGCCCCCTCCCGGGACGAACACTTTGAAGTCCCCCCAAAGACGAGCACAGAAGAGGGGAGTGAGAACGCATGGAATCAGAATGCAGAGATCTGGAGACCTGGTGTCCGCCTGAATACCGTTCCTATCAGCAATGGGGAAGAGCGTGCGATAGGGAGGAGGGATGAATTGAGAGACGGGGTAAGCACCCGATCACGCAGCAAACAAATGGAACGGTGGAGAACTGTTGACACGAAGATTGCCAGGACAGAGGAGGAGGGCATAGACCCCCAAATATGTAACACCCGTATGAAAGTTATTCATGACAGTGGAAGAGTGAGAAGAAAGGGTGTGGAGCAGGGATTGGGAAAAGCGTGTGTGTGGGGGAGCGTCGGTGAGCCCAGGGAAGCTTGTAACACTGATAGAGGAGAAACAGATGCCCCCAGGGTGGAGAATGAAAACAAAAAGGGGAGGAGGGTCAGTGCTATGGAAGGAAATAAGGATAAAGGGGTGGTGGAGGAGATGAATACCAGTAATGAGATAGTGGAAGGAATGATCCGGAAGAACCATAGAAGGAAGCGTAAGGAGAGTAATAAAGAAACATCTGGAACACTAATTAACCGGCCGGGACCGGTGACGCGGTCCATGAGCCGGGTGCAGATGCCGGCAAAACCCATTTAAGTCATCATTGTTTACTGGCTCCTTAGCCCTGATGATGTTTGGAGTTTCCAAACGAAAGCTTGGCAGCTTTTAGTAAAGTATATTTTTATATTTATACTCTCCTGGTGTTCGTATTTTATTTGTACCATAGACATGCCCAGGAGTCGTATCTTTATGCAAATTTTCCAGCATATATATATATATATATATATATATATATATATATATATATATATATATATATATATATATATGCTGGAAAATATATATATATATATATTCTATAAATAAATATATTTATTTATTTATTTCCCCCTTTATGGATTATTGCCTTGTCGTGGCGAAGGGGCTTGTGTAACTCAATGAAGCTATAAACTATGCCGTGCAGGGCCACCCAAGACAGACAGGTCATAGCAGAGAGTTCTGACAAAATGTGATCCACTGGAGAAGGAAATGGCAAACCACTCCAGTATCTTTGCCATGAAAACCCCATGGACAGTACTAAAAGGCAAAAAGATATGACGCTGGAAGATGAGCCCCTCAGGTCGGAAGGTGTCCAATATGCTACTGGGGAAGAGCAGAGGGCTAGTACTAGTAGCGCCAGAAAGAATGAAGCGACTGGGCCAAAGCCGAAAGGACGCTCAGCTGTGGATATATCTGGTGGTGAAAGGAAAGTCCGATGCTGTAAAGATTTTTTCTCCATAGGAACCTGGAATGTAAGATCCATGAATCAAGGCAAGCTAGACGTAGTCAAAAAAGAGATGACAAGAATGAACATCGACATCTTAGGAATCAGCGAACTAAAATGGACAGGAATGGGTGAATTTAACTCAGATGACCATCAGGTATACTACTGTGGGCAAGAATCCCTCAGAAGAAATGGAGTAGCCTTCATAGTCAATAAAAGAATAGGAAAAGCAATACTTGGATACAATCCCCAAAATGACAGAATGATCTCAATTCGAATCCAAGGCAAACCATTCAATATCACAATAATCCAAATCTATGCCCCAACCACTAGTGCTGAAGAGGATGAAATAGACCGGTTCTATGAAGCCCTGCAGCACCTTATAGAATTAATACCAAAAAATGATGTCCTTATCATCATGGGGGATTGGAATGCTAAGGTAGGAAGCCAAAAGATAACTGGAATAACAGGCAAGTTTGGCCTTGGAGTACAAAATGAAGCAGGGCACAGGCTGATAGAATTTTGTCAAGAGAATAGGATGGTCATAACAAACACTCTTTTCCAACAACCCAAGAGACGGCTCTACACATGGACATCACCAGACGGTCAACATAGAAATCAGATTGACTATGTGCTCTGCAGCCAAAGATGGAGAAGCTCTATACAGACAGTAAAAACAAGACCAGGAGCTGACTGTGGCTCAGATCATGAGCTTCTCGTTGCAAAATTTAGGCTTAAATTGAAAAAAGTAGGGAAAAGCACTAGGCCACTCAGGTATGAACTAAATCATATTCCTGATGAATATACAGTAGAGGTGACAAATAGATTTAAGGAATTAGATCTGATAGACAGAGTGCCTGAAGAACTATGGATGGAAGTTCGCAACATTGTACAAGAGGTAGCAACTAAAACCATCCCAAAGAAAAAGAAATGCAAGAAAGCAAAATGGCTGTCTGAGGAAGCTTTGCAAATAGCTGAGGAAAGAAGGGAAGCGAAAGGCAAAGGAGAAAGAGAAAGATACACCCAATTGAATGCAGAATTCCAGAGAATAGCTAGAAGAGATAAGAATGCCTTCTTAAATGAACAGTGCAAAGAAATAGAAGAAAACAACAGAATAGGGAGGACCAGAGATCTCTTCAAGAAAATTGGAGATATGAAGGGAAAGTTTCATGCAAAGATGGGCATGATAAAGGACCAAAACGGCAGGGACCTAACAGAGGCAGAAGAGATTAAGAAGAGATGGCAAAACTACACAGAAGAACTATACAATAATGAGCTTAACGTCCCAGATAACCACAATGAGATGGTCACTGACCTCGAACCAGACATCCTAGAATGTGAAGTGAAATGGGCCTTAGAAAATCTGAGCAACAACAAAGCTAGTGGAGGTGACAGTATTCCAGCTGAGCTATTCAAAATCTTAAAAGACGATGCAGTAAAAGTGCTACACTCAATTTGCCAGCAAATTTGGAAAACTCAACAGTGGCCACAGGATTGGAAAAGGTCAGTTTACATTCCAATTCCAAAGAAAGGCAATGCCAAAGAATGTTCAAACTATCGCACCATTGCACTCATTTCACATGCTAGTAAAGTTATGCTTAAAATCCTACAAGCTAGACTCCAGCAGTATGTGGATCGAGAACTACCAGAAGTACAGGCAGGATTTCGAAGAGGCAGAGGAACTAGAGATCAAATTGCCAACATACGCTGGATCATGGAGAAAGCTAGGGAGTTCCAGAAAAACATCTACTTCTGCTTCATTGACTATGCTAAAGCCTTTGATTGTGTGGATCACAACAAATTGTGGCAAGTTCTTAAAGAGATGGGAATACCAGACCATCTTATCTGTCTCTTGAGAAACCTATATGCGGGTCAAGAAGCAACAGTGAGAACTGGACATGGAACCACTGATTGGTTCAAAATTGGAAAAGGAGTCCGGCAAGGCTGTATACTGTCACCCTGCCTATTTAACTTATATGCAGAGCACATCATGAGAAAG